CTTTTTGCATGGAATCCAGTACTCAGCAGCAGAGGTCATGCATGCAGAAGCAAAGCTATGTTCCCTCCCAAGATCTTGTGCACTCCCAACCTACTGGTGAGGGGCCAGTGTTGGATGGAGAGCACTGATAATGTGCCTGCTCTGCTCAGCAGTTGCCAAAGCACCAGCGTGCTGTAAATACCTTTCTAACTACCAACGCAGAGCACAGTACAGTGAGGGCTGCTATGGGGGATATTCACTCCATCTCAGACCCTAAATATCCAGAAATACTCTAGATGTTTGCTGATAACTCTAACAGGATGAAGAAAGGAAGAGCACTATTAAACAAAGTTGTTACAGCTAAGGAAGACTGAGACCAAACTGTTAAAACAGTCAGTAAATGTCTGTCAGAAAAGTGAAGGTTACTTCATTCTAGATGATATCACAGTGCACTTCATTGCATGCAGCACTTACCTAAGAGACCATGTCCTTAAAACTTAAACTATTTTTAAATCCTAGATAAAATTATGCATTCTAAATCTATAGTTTTATCAATTTTCAGGCTCAGGACATGAATAAACATTTCATATATCAACTGTTTTCACTTGTTTTAAGTGCCCTTTTAGTGAATATTTAACTCTGCAGTCTGTCAAAATAAATTATTTTACCAGCAGGTAAAAGTCACTGCTCTCTCAACAGCAAGTAAATTCTGTACACTAACTCCAAACTGTGCATAGTATAAAAGCTAAACATTAGTAAAACATATATTTCTTGGATCTCATGGGCATTGTATTAGCTAATAAACTTTGCATTAAATTAAAGGCATTACCGGATCAACCAGACGATGTGAGAAGAATAATATTAAGGAAATTTGTAACCAAAGATTAAATCTATTCCTGGTATTTATTATGAAATAAGGAAGTGTTAAATTCAGCCTGGCAAACACAGAAAGATGTTGAAGAAGTATATCGATTTCTAAAAAACAGATTTACCATAACTGCTGTTTCATAACTGCAACAAAGTGTGGTTTTGTGTCCTTTTTTCTTTTTCATAGAAGAACAAATATAATTGTGAATTTTTAAAATATCTAATGCTTCAGGAGGGAAATCTTGGAGTGAGACTTTGGATGAAGGAATTGTTTATTTGATTACTCCCAGCATAATACAAAGCACAGTTTTCCATTAATATTTGCTGAATATTAAAGAAATACTATTTTGGGTTTTTTAAAGAAATGTGAGGTTTATTCTTTTAACTGGGAACTGAATTCAAATTATCTACTTCTTAAGAGAACATTTCAAAATATATCTTGCTGTAAGACTCATCTTCCTAGATATCTGGGGGACAGATTAAAGTAGTCACCTTCCTTTAAACTAATGGTGAAACAGAGGTGTTCCTGAAGGACAACACAGATCTTCTATTTAAGAAATTATTCTCTGTAGGTGAACCACTCTTTCTTTTATTGTCTTTTTTACTATAATGGAACTTACATGACTAAATTGGATTAAGTGGATAAGTAAGTCCTCGTTATTCTAGGATGCAGTTCAGCTGCCCTTGCATTGGCAGTGCATACTATACAAGCACCCTAAGTTGTTCAGTCACTCACATGGGGCTGCTACACAAGGTTCAGAAGATCTGTGCTTTTACAAAGCAAGAGAAACTTTAGGCATCTCAAAAAGTGCTAGACATCTGTGACTTGAAATCAGAATAATTCGTTTGATGTCCTAGTCAATATGAACACTGCTCAGCATACTCTACCTGTACAGTGACCCACACAGTGATACATATTGTTACATCGGTGTTATATGAATGATTTAGGAAAAAAAAATTAACCATTACATTTTGTAATATTTAATCAAGCTAGAGGTCCCAGGAAAAGAGTTTGTTGTCCCAGAACTGACTGAAACACAATGTTATTTCTCATGCTTTATTTACACAATCAGAAGCTATGTACAGAACAAAGTGGAAACACAACCTTCTTTTCTCCTTTAAATCTTTAAAGGAAAGAATGTGAGGAGACATAGATAAGAGATGTGGACTTCATAAAATACATCAAATCTTTTTTCTCTTCTCTTGTTCCTTCAGATGAATGCATGTTTCAGCAACATACTGCATGCAATATTGATGAGTTCCCTGGTGAAGTTCTGACTGCCATCAAGAAGTGTTGAGAGTTCTGCTGAACAGGATGTAAAAGACAAATTTTTAATGTGAGGTCCCAGTGTTAGAGCAATGAAAAATATTTTTCCAATGAAAAAATATTTCCTTTTGCAGTAAAGCCTGTTCTATTTCATTTACATAGGCATGTTATTCCTCTAAGTCAGTAGGGTGAATTTCACTGCTCCTATGAAAATCCATTCTTTCTCCATTTACCATTACATATCTTCCAGGCATAACAGGATTCAAGTAGATTTGTAAGCTAAAGAATGTGTCCTGGTCCAGTTATAAACAGGATTTCTCATGCATAAATAGAAGGCATAACTTTATTTGCAGTACATTTCATTGCATTCCTGAGTTATGCTTCTATCTTATTCACAATAAAGCCTGTTCCTTTTGAAGTGCCTAAACTCACTTTATTTTGAATAATAAGTAATTTTTTTAATGAAAAAAGAGTAAGCTACATATATTCTGAAATCAGCATGTTAGGAAACCCTCTAGCCTGCGTTAGAAAATTTATTTATGTTCATTTAAGCAGTAATTATTTTATTGTGATCTGAAGAAAATTGTACCATTGTTAGGACCACTTGGAAAAAGTTGTCTCCTCTAGTTAATATTGTGTTGCTACTCAGCAAATTACCCATTGCTTTTTTGGTTGGAAAAAAAAACCAAAAAGGCACATATTGAACTTATGTGTACAGAGATATCCAGAAAAATACTGACTACTCCAGAAAGAAAAGAACAAAAGTTTTCAAAAGTTTTTCACTTTCTGATTGACTTTTTAAAAGTAATTTTAATAGAATATTGCGTATATATTTAGACTACAAAAGTTGAAAACTAGATAGTACAAAATTTCAGTACATCCCTTAAAGTACAGTTTATCAACCAAGGTACAACAATTGGAAAAATTAAAATCTGAATTAAATTTTTAAAATTTTGCTTATGATTATTTCAAAATAAGTGTCTGTCTTACTCTGATACATTTATGCTTGGGAGAAATCTTGGGTCTCAATTTTCTAGATTATGTTTCGTTTCTGAGTTTTCTTGATGTTTATCTAAAGATCCTTCTATGAAAAAAGCTGCAAAGGGATTTTTCCAGCGTAATTTTGTTCCAGCTGTTACCAGAGGAATTAATATTCCACAGAATTTCTCAGCTCCATCTTTATTTCCTTATGCATTATAAAAGGCTCTAGTATTGGTGTTTTTTTTACAGAGCTCCTGCACAAAAGTAATTTTTCCTGGGCTGGGCACGATTATTTAAAAATAACAAGTTCTGCAGCAATGTAACATAAAAGCATTTGCACAGTAGAACAACCTCAGATTTTGCTGTCATTTTATTAAATTGGTATAATAATATTATTAGATTTCTTTTGTCATTGCAAAACTATAGTAGCACTGTTTAACATTTATCTAGGATGTCTGCAATTAGTTACTTTCCAAAGGACTCCATAAGCTTTAAATAATTAATGTCGTTTATAGAAGGTAAAAAAGATTTTTATGGTTTTTTTCCTACATGAGATTTGCAAATCAACACAGTAATTGTAACATAGAGATACCTCAAGCCTTTAAAAAAAAATCTTCTTATGGTGCACCTATTTAGATGTTTTTCAGACATAGAATATTATATATTTTTTCTCTTTAATCATATCCATAATAATTTTTAAAATCTTTTAAAGCCTGTTGGTATTTTTTTAAATACTACATGTATAAAAGAGATATATGTATCTCTACATAGGTAATTCAGCCTTTTGGTTTATGGATAAATCAGTGAATACTGGGGTCTTCTTTACTATTTGTATCATGTTTGTATGTTTTTCTGGGTAGTATATTCTGGTATTAACATGCAGCTGCATTCAACTGCCATATAAATAGTATTGCTTTTGACTACTCTGATGTCTGCAACTCCCGTCATTCAGGAATTTTGATCTTTCTGATCATCATCATGGCTGGGCTTCACGAATGAAGATTTGGGGAAGGCTCTACCCACGTTTGTTACAAGCGTGCTGGTGGCTAAAAAGGCCAGTATGAGATAGGCACATCCGGTTGCAAAAGGCACAGCAGAAAGACTCCTTAGGTGGTATATTCTGCAAGACACGATTCTTTCTGTGTTGTTTTTTCTCCTCAAGAGTGATCTCATGTGCTTTCTCAAAAGCATCAGCAGCGTTATAGATGGCGTGTCTCCGGGTCTCCCAATTGGAAGCCAGAGTAGACCAGTTATGGTGATCAATATGGCCAAGGCTGAGATGTTGTTTCAGGGAGTCCTTGTATCTCTTCTTTGGGGCTCCTCTCTTGCGGCAGCTGGTGGCAAGTTCACCATAAAGCAAGATCTTGGGGAGGTGATGGTCCTTCATCCTGGAGACGTGCCCTGCCCAACGCAGCTGTGTTCTCAGCAACATGGCCTCAATACTTGTGACTGCTGCTTGTTCAAGAACAGATGTATTGGTCACGTAATCTGACCAGTGGATGTTTGGGATTGTACGGAGGCAGCGTTGATGGAAGCGTTCTAGAGATGCAGGTGGTGGCGGTAGATAACCCATGATTCAGATCCATATAAGAGAGTAGACAGCACTATGGCTTTGTAAACACTGATCTTTGTACTTTTCTTCAGGTGTTTGTTTCGCCAAACTCTTTTATGAAGCTTTCCGAAGGCACTATATGCCTTTGCTAACGTGTTGTCTATCTCCCCGTCAATCTTACCATCCGAGGAGATGAGGCTACCTAGGTAATTAAACTGCTGGACTGATCTGAGTTCTGATTGGCCAGTGGTGATGTGGGGATGATGGGGGACTTCCTGAGGTGCAGGTTGATGGAGAACTTCTGTCTTCTTTAGACTGACTTCCAGCCCAAAGAGCTCAGCAGCGTCAGCAAAGCAGGATGTTAAACGCTGCAGAGCTGCTTCTGTGTGGGCGACAAGGGCGGCGTCATCAGCATAAAGCAGCTCCCGCACAAGATGGTTTAAGGAAACATACTGTACCTACCCAATAATTTTACCATTTTGCAAGATGAAATTTAAATCAGTTTATTAATATTAATTTGTTTTCCAAATGCTTGTGGTTGTTTTTCATGACACTGTGTCAGAAGATTCTTTGCATTTGGCTATTCAAGTTAATTTATAATTAACAAAGCTTAAATACACATAATCAGGTCCAGTGAACTGCCAGAATTTTGAACTGCTTTATCACTAGGGCTAGCATGTTAGTTTTGGCACGGAAAAGCACCTTACCAAGAGCAGCAAGATAGCCTTCATCTGGAACAGATACATTTTTGTTGTTAAGAAACACGCTATTGTCTTTAGGTAGCTTTCCAAAAGACAATTATCCTCAGGATGTGTGATTGATCACATGAAACAGTTGGGATCATTGTGGATCAGTATGATCAGACTAGAAAGAAATCTTCTGGAATATCCCATGGGGTGAGATGTGTAGAATTTAACAGTAGTAAATAGATATTTATCAGATTCTCTTGCTTTATAAAATTCAAAAGAGAATAATCATTTATACCTTTTCCCGTACACTCTTTGGTTTATTTTCAGTTTTTGTAATAATAGAAAGCATTTGAATTTGAGGAGATATTTCTGATACGTATGTAATTACATTCGTATTTTTTATTTCTAGATCACTGTTTTGTAGCATAATATATTTTGATAGCTATGACAATAGTGAAACACAGTCTTAAACAGCACTTTTACTCATCTAATAAAGTACCAGTTCAGAAAAACATCTGCCAGTGATCAACTTCCTGAGTAATAAACAATGCAGTAAATCTGTCTTCCTGTTAATAAGACTAGCATATGAGTGGATTAAAATAAATTATCAGCTTCACATTAGGCTTCAGCCTGAGGACAGTGTTCCACTGGCTTGAAGGTTTGAGTCTAGCTACATTTTTCATTTTTTAACAAGCAGTCAAGGCTGAATGCAAAGACTCAGGAAATGCCTCAAGGTCTTAACCCACCTGATCATTATGCATCAGAAACTAGCCAAGCCAGAAACCATTATTACTCAAACAAAATTAGTTGCTGAAAAGTTATTTGTTGGTTTTACATTTTGCCTAGAGACAAAGTAGATGCATTTCCTTGGCAAGCACGGAAAAATAGCCTGGCGTGTTCTTTGGCGTTTGAAGCCTCTCCACCTGCTGGAAACAAAGAGTTAATATACCAGCAACAACAAATCATGTCTCCTGTTGTACGGGCTCTGGTGTGTGACTCGCATACTACACGGATTCTCGTGCCTCAGATAAGGAAGCGGGGACCTGCCCTGAAGGAATGCGCAGCGCTGTCCGTAGTGCTGAACACCAGGAGCACCCATGGTCCCAGACACTTCTGGCTGGGTCTGAGACGAGGAATTGTTTGCCTGTCTTCATGTCTGAAACAGCAGGGATGTTGTGGTCTATGTGGACTTCTGTAAGACAGGCACAAATAAGGTACAGAACTGTTACTGCATTTTTTTAATTCACAGAATCACAAAACATACTGAGTTGGAAGGGACCCACAGGCATCGAGTCCAACTCTTACCCTTGCACAGGACCATCCCCAAGGGTCACACCATGTGTCTGAGTGAACTGTCCAAATGCTTCTTGAATTCTGTCAGGCTTGGAGCTCCACCACTTCCCTGGGGAGCCTGTTCCAGTGCCCAACCACCCTCTGGGTGAAGAACATTTTTCTAATATCCAACCTAAACCTCCCCCGACACAACTTCAGGCCATTCCCTCAGGTCCTGTCACTGATCACCACAGAGAAGAGTTCAGTTCCTGCCCCTCCTTTACCCCTCATGAGGAAGCTGTAGACTGTCACATGTTTGTCTTTGCCAAGGCAGAAATACAAACTTTGTCTCCTAGATGAGATCAGCCATTTACTTCCTTTTACACATAGATGCAACTTTTTATTTTATTTTTATATAGATTTAAAGATATAAATTTATAATATATAAATATATATTTTATAAATAAAATGTTTGTATATATAATATTTGTATATATAATATTTCTATACTAACATAATTAGTTTTTAATATCTAAAAATGTCTTTCTTGATGCAATACTTCAGTACATTTTATATATGATTTTTATCCTTATTTTTATTATTATCCCATGCAAATACATTAAATAGAACATAAAATTACTGAATTCTGTAGATGGTTTGAAGCTCTAGTCTTCACTGAAATCTCTGTGTTACTGAGAAGTTATGGATCACATGATGCAGTCAATTAATCTTACTACCTTCTTTGTGGCCAAAATAACACAACATAATATTTGTCTTTTAATACCAAATGCATGTTAAAAAAAAAAAATAAATAAAAAGTACAATCTCAGTGCTGAAAAATACTTTGATTCAGGGATAATGTGATCTAAATGGTAGCTGTATGGACCATCCCTGATGTTACTGCTTCTATTTGGTGTCAACTTTACAGGCATGAACATATAACTAGGCTACTATCATAGCAAGAAAAATTTTCAATGCAGTTCCATTTTCATTTTGTATAGTTCTGTTCTGTTGCTTCAAACCATCAGTTCCTCTCCAAATTCACTGTGAATTTAAAAAAAAAAAAAGATATTTGCATTAGCATTTTTTGTTTAATTTTAAAAAGAAGTTCCTTGTCTTCATAAATATATCATAAACACATTTCTAAGAAAAAATATATATCGATTATTTTTTAAACTGATTATTAGAAATGGCAGAATCTATTTAACTTAAACTTCTATAAATGCACAGGAGTATTAATTAAAACAAACCAAAACAGACCAAAACATACCAAAACAAAAAAATTTGTTGAACATTACCTATAAAAATAGAATTACATAGAAATTATCATCTGACCTAAAACTGAACCTTCAATTACTTGTTGATATACTTCTCCTATGCACTTGCTTTTTTCTTTAATGTGTGCTAGGACTTGTACATGTTACTACAATAATATTAATAAATATTATCAACATTATTAAATAAACTTCTCATAGGTCTGATATCGACTTCATGGAATTTAAATGGAGTCAGCTTCATCCTCTTACTTAGTTTATATTCACCACAGATCTTTTTAATAATATCAGATACTCACATAAAAAGAAAATGCAACTATTTATTTATTTGTTCATTCATCTTATATGCATCATTAATTAAAGCATTATGAATAAGTTCCTACACTTATTTCAGGATTTACTTTTTCACTCATACATATGTGTATTTATATGATATATAAATGTAGGAAATAAAGCACATATAATCACATCAGCTTATTCTATGTACTTAAACTATCACATAGTATTAATTTTTATGATCATGCATTTCTTATAATCAACAACTGATATTATCTAAATTTCCCTTTCTGAATATACTAAATTTCAAGCACTAGAATCAGTCTACGCAAAAATTCACAGGTTTCCTCTGAGTCTAAACTGCCACAGCAAAAGAGAAGCAATACAGTGTGTTTCCACAATGTTGTCAAAATGAAAGACAGGAGTACTGTTGGGTTTTTTTATTTCCAGGACTTATTTTATATGACTTCAGTTCTGACTTTAATGTTAATCAGTAATAAAGTGAATTCCTTTTGACAGCTCTTTAAAATTCTCAGGAATGTTTTTACAAAATGAAACCATATAGCTCTCGTAAAATGAACTCTGTATGACAGCTTGCTGACTTTCTGTCAAGGAACATACACTCACTTCTGGGAAGCTGAAGTTTAAAAAAATGAAAAAAGAACCAAACTAAATTTTGCAAAATGTACTTACCAACCTCAGTTTGCCCAAGAAGAAGATGCTGAATTGGCAGGTGTGCACACATATGGAATTTAGGTGCATTTTTGTGTGAATTTTCAAACATTCAGATGTTCAAAGACTAGACTCTTTATGAGACTTTAGAACCTTTTTAACATCTATTTTCATAAATTTCATCCACCTTGACTCACAAAATATTTTAAATTAAATGTATTGTACTGGATGCACAACATTCATATTGTGGATTTTTATTTTACAGTGAGAATATAAGCTGCTCAGGCAGCTAATACTACTTTTGGGAAGAGCATAAGAGCCATAGCACCTCATGGTCTCCTTCCAGACTATCTACTCATAAATCTGGGTTGCACCTAACAGTAAAGTCCATCCAATTATCTGCTCTTCTGTTTTCATTTCACTATAAACACATTTTAGTTGAAGCTGTTTCACACTCCTACACAAACCATTATAGTAGCAAAGCTATTCATTATTCAAAACTCCAGAAGAAGGCACAAACACAAAATTATGCAGTGATTCCAAGATTCCATTCAGAAACGAACAAAGCAGTTGTGTCTGGATAACTTATATTGAGCAATGTGATAACTCGTTATGTCTCTGTCCCCTCCTGTAATAAAAAGGTGGATTGTTATGCACTGAGTAACATGACTGTCTTTTCAGTTGTCTGGGGCACAGTGTCCTAAGCTGAAGCCTTCCATGTCAATCATAACTATTTTTTCCCCTGCACTCTATTTCAGTGCTGTAAGCTTAGGCTTACTATGAAAGAATATATAGAGCACTACTCCCCCAGTAGTGTAGATATGATTAAACATTCCACATTCTCTCGGTTCATGGTTTTCAAAATTTATTCATATCTTTGCTTACCTGACACAGTAGCTACTGCTATATTTTAATAGGCAGAGTAATTTTGAGTGCTATAAGTACTGGCACTAGCAAACAATCCATTTGCATTTGAATTTTACCCTCAAAGAAAACTGATAGTCCTTAGCAATACTCAATACCATCAGATACTTTAACAGATAGACATACAGATAGGTAGGGAGAGCGTGAGAGAGAGAGAGAGAGAGAGCGCGCAACATCTCAGGTGACTGTTAAGAATCACAATTTGTAGTAAAACCAATCATAAATCAATGAGTCAGTTGATAGTGAAATATGAAACATTAGAATAAATTTAATTTTAAAAGACTGATAATGTCCTTTTATTTAAAGAAGGTTCTTGTTTCCTTATCCCTAGTGGTGCTTGGCTATTGAGGGCAAGTGCATCAGATCAAATGAAGCAAAGCAAAGTGTGAAATATCTGTAGTTACAACTTTTTAAGGGATCCTCTTGGATACCTCTCTTACAATACAAAAAAAAATGGCTCCTTACAATTGCAATTGTAAATAATACTCCACAGATCTACATTCCATATGTAGTGAAGAGACTAAAGGAAGGAAAAACTTTCAACTCTGTATATAACATCCAAAAATACAGGTCCTTTTTCTAAAAAGAAGCAATATATAAGATATACTGCAACCACTGGACTTTCACAAAGAGAAACATAATAATTTTCTCCTTTTCTTATTTAATTTACAAAGTTACCCTTGTCAAGCACTGGGAAATGAGTAAGAAAAAAATGTCAGAAGTGATGTTATACTAATACCTATTGGGTTCCTATAAACCAAATTCAAAACCATGAGTATTTTGAAAAGAATCATTGATTCTCAGCTGTCATAGCTCCCTGCCAGTGAATCTTCAGCCAGTGTTAAGCAAGTCAGAAGAATCCTACACAGCTATTTCTGGAACAAAATTTGCCATGTACTTCAAACAAGTGTTTAATCTTGAATTTATATGTCAGTTCAAAGAAATAGCTAGATGAGACATTTTTATATAAATTTTACATTTTTTCTTTTCATAAATAGTTTTTTTGACTTAAATTAATTTTAATATTTGGGGTTTTTTAATTTAAAACCAAATACTGAAACAGATGTTTTAATTTTATCTTGGTTGAGTGAAATAAACATTGGTTTGTGTTCATACCATGCAATCTTTCAAAATTCTCTATGTTGGGTTATATGGCAGAACAGGAAAATTTCCTGTCTGTGGAAATTCCCAGTAGGAAAAAAAACCAAGCCAAATCTATTTCATATTCAGCCTAACTAAGCAATTTCAGTCTCTCTTTCCTGAAGGTGAGAGGAAAGGGAAGTGAAGAATGGGAGATTTCAAAAGTGGTGGTTGATACAAAACACCCCAGTAAAATTCTTCAGTCCTTATAAAGAACTCTGGGCTTTCTAATTCTAAAAGGTGCTAGGATGTGTCAAAATTATTTTGCTTTCCTCACAGGACCAGTTTTGCTGCATATTAGGAAGATTATTAAAATATTTCAGTACAAGATTAAGATATTTTTTTCCATGCCAGTCTGAATTTTGCTCTGTTATAGGATGTAAGTCAAGCAAACATTTTCAGCTTAGGTTTTTCACCTTGGCTTTAAATATTGTACAAAAGGCTTTTTTTCTTGTCTTTGTGTAGTCAGGAGAGGCATTACCTTTAGAAAAAGTATTCAGTCTCTTTGAAACACTCTTTCAATCTTTTTAGCCCTCAATGTACAGTGGTTCATCTTCTAGGCATTGGTTCTTATTATAGTTTAATTTGCAACCACATTCTTTGATAAATCTATTAGCTGACTGTTCTTAGATGTTAACATGTCTCCCAGAGCAGACTACAGATTATTCCACTAACTCTCCTCTGAACAGTTTCCAATCTTTGTCCTTTTAAAACAGACTGCAAAATAGGCAGAGGAGTCTGATCACGATCTCAGATACAGTAAACAGAAAAAAAATAATTCCTGCACATCATGATTTAACAAATTGCACACAGTGCATCAAAATGTAAGCATTTCTAGTGGAACAAGAGCTATGGTATGATGGTTATGCAGCAGCAGTGGTCTTGCAGTTCTTCTGCCAGATATAGTGTAGAGATTCACAAATCTGAAAATGTCACTCTTTTCTATGTGCACCTTGTACCTGGTATTTCCACCAAGTTTAGCACACATCCGGAAGAAAGGAATGCCTGCAGTACAAAGTGTCATCCCATTTTTGCAAATATGTCAAGGCACAGCAGGGGAATTTCTCTAGTCTTTGTAACTTTGTATAAAAATAACATCTCCTCGTGAGATTTTGTTGATTTTCATTTTCTGAAAGGACCTCACAAATTACTCCTGTGCATTCTGTGTTTCTGTTAACAATGTACTGCCTTGGTAGGCTTTACCGTAAGATTTGAATGTGAAATGGATTCTTGTAGAAACCTAATTAGGCTAGGATGGAAACCAGTTACTTCTGAGTTCCAGGACAGTCTTACTTTTTATAGCATTATAGTGATGCAGTCTCAGTAGTCTTCTTCTCTGTTTAAACACCAAAAAATGTAGGAACTCCCCGAGTTTGGGATTATTTTCTCATAGAATCAGTTATAAAATGGAGATCTAGACCTGTAATAAGATTTTAAATATCCCTAAAGCAAGTTTCCTTCATTTCTAGAGATATGTAATTTGCTTTACTTAGCTGTAGACAATAGCTAGTGTTTTGCTAAAATTTCTTTGCATTGCTGAAAATACAGATCTGATTTTTTTTTATTATTATTATTATTATTTTTTGCCCATTTGGTTGGTTAATTTATCATATTCCAGTTTCTTTAGAATGAAGTCACCTGCAGAGACAGCCCTGACTTTTATGTTTATCCAGCTTCTACATTTTTGCTCTGTGTTTAAAATCGCTCCAAGAGAATTTGTAAATAAGCCCAGACATAACACCATTTTGTGTGATTCTCTTGTGACACAGCTAACTGTTCCTTAATGTCACTTCTGAAATAGAAATTCTTAAAAAATTAAATTGGTTTACACAAAAAAATGTCAAGTCATCAGTGTTGTGGGAAATATTGTGAGTTCTTAAGACTACAACACTTTATTTTTTTAAAGAATTCTCTTAACCTCTGTAAAGTATTTGATCAGGTAAGACATTTATTTATGTCTGAATTGACAAATGCAGTCACCCAGATAATTAAGTAGCTGAAAAATATTGATCTGTTAGGCATAATGCAGTCAATACCAGAAATGTTTACCAGAGTAACACTAACATTAATACATTCTATTACCTTGTAAAATTATTGGGTTAGGTCTTAAGTCCACATCTCTTTCCAATAATCTTCAAAGATTCATTAGAATCTTAGTTCTTACTATTTGTGAGGAGTGAGGCAACATAAAAATGTTTAATACAACTCTGAAACCTGTAAAAATATTCATTAAGATATACTCACCATGATGCTGTAATGCTGGCCATGTTCACTCTGGTCATAAATTTCACCAGAAGACTTCAAAAAGTATAGTAGCACAAATTAAGATTCTGTGGACACAATAGACATGTAGAGCCACTAATAAATACAAATCAAAATACTGGTGTGAAATTTTTTTGCACAATGTGCCAGCAAAGGCACTTGTAGTGCTAGTTTGTCACATCATCATAATTGTAGCACATTTTTATCATTAGAAATAAATTTGAAAATCCATGATGAAACAAGACACTGAAAGCAACAGCAAATATTCGTTGCTTTCAACAGGGTATTACTTGTGATGTTTCATTGTAATATTAGATTATTAGTTATTTATAAAACCATTATTTAAAAACTGCTGATTTATTTAGACCAGGTAGACCAACTAGTTTTTCCAATCGACTTCTCTTGCACATACCTTCTTTCTATATTTCTGCATTATCATGAAGTGTTTGACATCAAGACCCATTGCTCTATAGGCTGGCATCTGAATTGTTCTAGTCATGTAAAGTAAGTATTATATTTTCACCTGCTGGACTTCATCTATAAATATCACAAGGGATATAAAAAATGTAAATAATTGATAATGGTTCACAGGCTTATTAAGTACAAGAATATTCACAGTCTTATTAAGTACAAGAACTAAGGGGTGGGAAAATAAGCTTAAGGTGCTGTTTCAAAAGAAAGAAAAGGAAGCTATTCTTTATGAAATTTAACTGTGGAGCTCCTTGCCAAAGAGTGCATGTTAAAAATCCACAGAAGCTAAAGAAGTGCCTTACTTAAATCATGGAAGAAGATCTGTGGTGGTCTATTAACTATGAAAAGATCCCCATTGAGTAAGAAAGTCCCAGAACTGCAATTTTTTTTTAGACTAGACAGATAGTCTCAGGAGCTATTACAGTTATTACTGTGCTTGTATTTTTTCCTAAACCTCTGCTGTGGACCATTGTCAGAGAGTCATGATACTGAACTAAATAAAGTTTTAGTGTAGATAAGAGCCCATTTTGGGTGTCTTATGTATCAACAATACCACCCGGCACCTATAGTTCTAGTTTTACTTCTATTTACTTAAGACTACAGAAAAACAGAATAAGTCAACATTATCTAAATGCAAAAATTGTTTTACATTACTTGAAGTCAAGATGTCAGATACATGAATGTCCTTTAAATACATTGTCACTAAGTTTTCATTTACAGGTAGATGGTTGAGGAATTATTTTGCCCATTTGATTTTTGTCCATCCATTTTAACTTTCTTGTTTTCTCACTTCAGATGTGTCTTTCTATTTTTTTCACAGCAATGGAGCTGTTGGTTTGCTTCTCTTCTAACTGCATCATTCCACAGAACATTCATGTCTGTGCAAAAGACATTAACACATTTAACAAGTAACAATAACAGTCACAACAAAGTTACCAGAACAAAAACATCATTAGAGCCTTCGTCTGCAAAATTTCTGTAACTGGAATGTCTGTCTTCTATGTAAACGACTGTATTAAGACATGATTTTTTCAATGACTTTATTGTTTTAGTTATAGGTTAAGAATTCATATAAATTTTATTGAAATTCTTGGGATGCATCAAAAGAAGGGTGAAAAGCAGATCAGGGAAGGTGATTCTTCCCCTCTACTCCACTCTTGTAAGACCCCACCTTGAGTACTGTGTCCAGCTCTGGGGTCCTCAGCACAGGAAAGACATATTGGAGTGGGTCCAGAGAAGGGCCATGAAGATATTAGAGAGCTGGAGCACCTATCCTGTAAGGAAAAGCAGAGAGAGAACTGGGATTGTTCAGCCTGGTGAAAAGAAGGTTCTGGGAAGAACTTACTGTGGCCTTTCAGTACCTAAAGGAGGCTTGTAAGAAAGATGGGGACAAACGTTTTAGCTGGCCTGTTGTGATAAGATAAGGAGTAACAGTTTTAAACCGAGAGTCAATTCAGATTAGATTTAAGGAAGTTTTTTACAATGAGGGTGGTAAAACAATAGGTTTTACCTGTTTGGTTTCTTAATTGCCCAGAGAGGTGGTATATATATCCCACCCCTGGAAACAATCATGTTGGATGCGGCTCCAATAATCATGTCGTTGAGGATGTCCCTGTTCATTGCAGGGGAGCTGGACTAGATGACCTTTGGGGGTGCCTTCTAACCCAAACTGTTCTATGATTCTATGAAATATTTGTGTCTCCAACTGCATTACAGGCTTGTACATGCTAAGTGTAGACACTAGAAATGACCATATCCTCATTGATATGTTTAACGTTATAAGGTTCTGATTTCACTATTACCTACATTTTCACTAGATCCCTCCTCTCAATTGTGTGATGCTTCTTCCTAAGCCTGAAAAATTCAGCACCCAACACATATATCAATCCTGTCTGTCAAACTCACTTCTAATATCTGAACTAAGAAGTAAACAAGTAAACTCTGAGCATACCTGCTTCCACATAGACATAGACAAGAAGAAAATCTGTGACAGTGACTGATTTTTATATCCTACTACAGCCTGCTATATAGGAGGCTTCAGTTTAGATTTCTGTTTTGGAAAACAGTCTCTCAGACTAGAGATCCCCAAATAAGTGATCTCCATTCCATTACACAAGGTAAAAAGAAGCGTCAGCACCCCACAAAATTCTAAGATCACCACAACCATTTCTTCCTCCTCCAGTCTTTTGTGACAAAGTTATGCTCCAAATATCATTTCAACCAAGATATGTATGTCTGTCCCCTCACTGCAGCGTTTCCCAGGGGTTATCAGCCACCCACTGACATGTATCAGGTCAGCACTTACCTGAATTCTGTTCATTTTCTTGTCTCTCCTCATGGACGCAAGTTTAAATTCTACCTTCTGAAACAGCATCTCTAAATTAGGCATGGTGATGCTTAGGTCCTCTTCAGATACACAAAACTTACTGTCAAATACTATTTTCAGTCATGTCAAGATCATGAACTTTATTTCCTATTAAAAATTACATCCCAGGTCAAAATTTTTACATTGATTTTCACCCCTGAGTGTGTCTGTTAGTTTTCTTGGGCCTGATTCCTGTTTTACCACATAAAATGGAAAAATGTTTAAATGCAGACACCTCTCAATGAAGCCACACCTATATATCACAGAAGAGTATCAAGGAAGAGCAGACATGCAATCATTTGCAATAAACTTTTTAATTTTAATAATCTAACATTAGGATACCTCAAGTACTCTGTAGTTGAGATGAGTCATATTCAAAGCTCAATTCATTAGTAAAGGCAACCTTTGACATTAAATGCAACCAGGGCTATACTATGAGAAGAATTAAAAACTGGACTATCTAAAATAAAGTAAAAGATTGAATCTTCTGAGCTGGCACAGTCTGCCTTTCTGGAAGGTTTCACTTTCAGTACCCAAGCTGAACCAGGTGTCATGCAGAAACTTTGATTACCATCAGTCCAGGTAAAATGCAGAAAGAACCATGTCTCTGGTGAATTTTCTGGACTCCAAGTTCTGTATATCATAGTAATACTCATTTTTAATTTGTTCCTCTCTGTTGGGGCTTTTTGGGTGATAGGTTTTGGGGTATATTGTTTTGGAGTTTTCTTCTGGAAAAAGATATTACAGTGACCAGATCCATTCTGAGATCTCAGTCTGGTACTAAGCTTGATTATGATTTATGAAGACTGCGACAGAACATTACAACTTATACTGAAGAGGAAAAAGCATGAAAGTTGAGAATCTAAAATTTAGACATAGCCTGATTTATCAAATTTAGTTAATAAGCTGATTTTCTTAATCAGTTGATCTTTGTCTACTCAGAATCTCTGTGCCAATATTTTTCACCTATCACAAAGAATGTAAAAGCCAAACAACTCAAGCTTTTATACTCTTTAGGCTCACTGCTCAGCCCTACTAGTGTTTGCATCAAATTCTCCCACAGAGTTAAGACAGAACTTTATTACACTTTCAGATGCTTGCTCTTTTGTACTCCCAGATATGAGAGAGAAGTCCAAGGATGGGCTTTCTCCAGCAGGCTGCTTTATCTTTGCTACGCTATTGTCAAGAAGAAATACCCTGATCTTGTTTTAAGTTAGCACTTGTAACACAATATTGCAGTGTGTTCAACTTCCATCTTATCTTCTTCCTCAGTGAATATAATTCTGATCAATATCCAGGCTTAAAAAAGAGACAAAGAAACAAGACAGATTAGGAAACTTTCCAGGAATGGATTTGATAAAAAAGAAACAAAGGAGAATTTTGCACTGACTTTTCAACAGGGATTGGTTTCATTAATACTGTAAACCACCACTAAGGCAATTTTCTCTGTCAGGTTGAACTCATTCAAAATTCTTAGTCTTCCCAAGTTATTGTACCTGGCCAGTGAAAAAGAATTTCTTATAGTATTTTCAGCATTTTAGAATAAATTTTAGAATCATTTAAGATAATTCTAGAAATAGAATAGCAAAAAAGTATTTGTGCCTGGGCAATTTTTAATTCAGGTTGTTCAAGAAAATTTCATGTAAATTCATATTTATATTGCTATTATCAAATTACAGTATAATTTGTCTGTTAATGGGCTCTGAGAGGGAAAATATATTTTCCCCCTATATTTCTAATGTCTATTTTTATATTTCAGTTGATAAATAATTTTTTCTTCTAAGTACAAATCTTTTCTAGAAAACAAGATAGAAGAAATAACAATGGGGAAAAGAATATAAGAAACATTCTTGGGTTGTAAATTTCTTAAAGAGTTGTGTTTTGATTTGAGAGATAATTTTTAATCAGCTTTTTTTTTTGGGACTGAGATTGTCTCATGCTATTTTTAAATGTCAACTCTTGACTGTAATTAAGAAACTGTGGAGAAGGGGAAGGAGATTAATTCTTAGATAAAGAAAAGGAGACCATTTGCCTCCTTGAATTTCTGCTTGGAATTAGAAAGTATTTCATTTTCTGGTTAGTTTGATTTTGGGAGTTGACTGACAGGAGTAATATCCTGAATTATTTTTCCTTCTCTTTATTTCAATTTTATCGTGTTAAATAAGCTATCCAAATGTTTAGTCTATCCATTTCTCTACACAGATAGCTTTGGGGATTTATGTGTATTTAATCCAGAAGAACTTTGGCAATACAAATTATTAGTTGTAGCATTAGTCACATCATTTATTTTCAAAAGAGTTCCTTGATATTTAAATAACTTTTTAACTTTAATATTTCCTTTGAAATACCTGGAAGTTTAATATTTCAACCCTGAAAAAAAATCAGTTGTTTTGGTAAAAAATGAAATTAATAAAAAGCTCAAACCAAGACTTAAAACTTCAGAATATTAGATAATACCAAACTTTCTAGTTTTTCATTGACACTTTTTTCTTTTATCATTTTTGTCAATATTTCCAGATTAATAACTGCAACTGGCTGACCTGAAAAATTGAGTATTGCTAGCAGTATGTACTGTGATTTCAGTGCCAAAGAGTATAACTAAATATTTACAACAGTTTCCTATCATGCCGCCAGATGACTGCTAGGCAACACGCTGGGTTCGTTTTTTGCTCTTGTTATTTGTTTGCTGTGTAAAGAATGATTCATGTCATGCCAGTCGACATTCATACTCAGCTTGGTGACAGATTCTTCTGCGCCAAGTAACATCACTCTGTTTTCTGTCAGCTCTATAACTGGTCTGAGCTAGCACACCTAGAGACAACCTCTTCAGCCAATCAAATATATGGTACCCTAGGAAGGATGAAGGTAGAAGTGATTCTCTGACCTCAGCACTATCTGTGATACATTCCTAATTCAGAACACCAAAGACCACAGTACCATATGTCTCATTAAGGTATCTCTCCTCATTCTCACTTCTCTGTCTGCAAACATGACAGTTGTAGGAGACTGTTATATATCCAACAGATAATTGGTACAAGGTTCCAAGTCGCCTTGATCTTGCACAGACTTGGAGCTTGTCAGGACACTGTCACTGCATTCCAGCAGAGCTCTTATTAGTTAACTGTACTTGACAGCACCTCAGAAACTGTATATTTTAAGTTTAAGCAGATTGACATAATAAAGGTCATAACTTTTTTTTTCTGGATAATTGCTGTCAGCATTGATAAACATGTATTTCTTCTCCAGTCCATCAGAAGACGGGTGTGAATATGTCTCTTTATAGTTTAAATTTTAAAGTTCCTGGCATTTTGCAGAATCATTTATTGTTGAAACCCTTGGCTGATGCATGTAATTATGGGCCTCTATAAATATAGATGTATATATTTATATGTATCTTTTCCCATTTGACAATTATCTCTCATCTTTCACAACATTAATGAAGACATATTTGATCTGAAGAGCAGAGGGAATTTCAAGGACCAGGACTGGAATATTTTTTAATATCCTATGATTTTATTTATCTATCTGTCTATCTATCTATCTATCTACCTATCTATGTAGTGGTTTGAACTTCAGATAGTACAACTCTTTCTCATCAGAAACAATCACACTACTGTAGGAATTTGTTCCTTTAATGACTGAAGCAAAATAGAAGAGACAACTAGGCTTATCAGAGTCATCAACAACCTTATTTTTTCAGTTGTCCTGCTGTTTTCTATGTGCATTGTTCTGTACCGTGTAAGTACTGGTACCTGAAAATTGTCATAGTCAGTGCAATTAAACTCAGCAGAAAACTGCTGCACAGGATTGTTAAAATCTTTTTGGGATTCAGCTGCAGCTGTTCAGCAACTAAAGCACAGAGGTACTCCCTAAAGCAGTATGTGGAAAAATACAAGAATTCAACTAGTATAACGTCTTGATAGAAGATTCCTAGCAGTGTGTGGCTGTCACAGCTATGTTCCATTTTTTTGTGCTCATTATCACAGAGTAGCAGAGATCTGCTTTGCAGTGAACTCTGTCCAGGGAGGTAATAATTAGCTATCTTTGCATTTTCTGATGTGATATTCTAGAGACTCCAGTCTACGTTTTCAAAAGTGGTGGTGGTTTGAAGTACTTGAAGTGAAACAGTTTAGAGTGAAATACTGAGTATCTGCTCTCTGAAAACCAGACCTTTAGAGCTTCCTCAAAGTCTGCATTTGAAAAATGAAGGAACACATTACTCAAAGATTACCTGTGGAAATGCAGGAACATTACTTGCCACTACCAGGGAAGATATTTTACTTTCATGATAGGAATAGATGATTTTGATAGAAGTCGTCAAAGTGTTGGACTGCCAAAAGATTGGTCATGTTACTTGAGAAGAAAATAAATCATTCTGCTCCAGGAAGAGCATTCTGCTGTCATGGAGAGTTGCATAAGAATAAAAAACAATTGACATGATATTGGGGCAGGAGTTTGATGCATGCTTCCTGGGAAAGTTGAAGCTGAGAAAAATAGTTGCCTTTAAGAATCACACTTCCAAAGAAGAGATGAAATGGAGATCGATGCAGGATATTTCACTTGACTCTTTGTCCTCTGCAGTCAGTTCCTGGGACTTTTAGTCATATATTCTAGCACGTGCATTGCATAGACCTAAGTTATGATGTGAAAAATCAAATTTATACCATGGCATCACAACCAGCCACAAATCCATTTAGACAGCTTTAAATTAAAGATGTTATGTCTGCAGAACTAATAAGAAAGGTTTTAATAGCTCAGTCACTCAAAACAAACAGGTTCCTTTATGATAAATAGCCTTTAAAGACAGCAGAACAGAACCTCAGGAACCTGTAGAATACTAGACAAAATAGGGATAAAGGGGAAATCTCTTCTTGAACTTATTTTATTGAGAAAAAAAGTGAGACAGATACACAGGTAGAGGAGAAAGAGAATGACACACATATCATGGTGGTGACTGATTTAGGAAGGATGGGATCTGATGAGAAGTCTGATAGATTGAGGTGTTAGTATTTTAATAGTGTGTAGGAAACTTCCACAATTTGGCATATGTGGGAGAGTGTTAACATTATTGCAGATACACTATTATTTTGTATAGAGTAGTTTATAACAACTTCTAGGAAATTATTTTATTATTTATGTTTTATACAATCTGTTAGTTTTATCTACTGTGCTTACATAATAAGCACTGAGTAGTAAATTAAGAACTATTGTCTTTGTTCAGAAATGCTTTCTACAGTTACAGAAGAATTAAAAATGAGGAAAGAATGCTGAGACTAGGATTTGACTCTTAAAGATGGCAAATTCATGCTACTGTGCATGTATCAAATATTTCACAGCATGTTAGGTATTTCTCATCTTCTACCATGAAAAAGCTTGTTCATAGCATATTTGACATTGAAGAAGGCCAAATTAAGTGCCATCAGGTGCTTCCTGAGGGAATTCTTCCATAAAATTGGCTACATTCATAAAAAGTTTAAAATCCAGAGACCTGATGCAAATCATCTAGCAAAATGATTTAACCAATTCATTGTTCTGACATGTACTAAAGACTATGAAGCTTTCCTAGTAAAATAATTAAAATATCTCTGAAAGTAGTTGGCTACACATTTCAACTACTTGAGTACACAGTTCTCTCTCAATTTACGTAACACAGTATTTTAATGGAAAATGAAGTTAGCTATTCTCCCTCTACTTCCTCTATAAGCCTCACTTTGTACATTGGTGTGATAAGGGTTCAGCTGAGACACTCGACTATTTTGAGAGAAAGATTTTCCTAGCATTTTTGCAATATCAAAATAGCCTTGGGTATGCAATGTCTTAAGACATTTGATGGAATTACCCTGGTGGATGTTCCAATGCCTATTCACCTTGTAGATTACAAGAACTGAGAGGGAAAAGAGGATAATCAAGCAAAAGAGAAACACATATGAATATTTGAAAATTACCAGTTAATTCATGTCTTTACAGTTGGCATTATCATTAATAACCTTTGAAATTTATCTCAGTTCAACCACCAGAATATATGTGCAATTTCATAGACCAAAAGAAAAATTTGATATGAAATATGAAGATTATTCCAAAATTTGTTGCTCTGTATAATTCTTTTGCTCTCTTTCCCAATAGTGTCTTACTCTGTCCTGGCAAAAGTTTGACATTTGTTCTTTTATATCACTCTCATGGGCAACTTGCTATAAGTGATTAATTCAATTACATCATCTAAACAGACACTAGGGAGTTTTATGTCAGCTTTATGAAGTGTAATGGACTATGTCATATGTGACAATGCCTACCAGGAAGAAATTCTCAGAGGTGTTGAATGCACTTATAATTTCAGTAACAATAAAAAAATTACAAAGGAGCTAAAAATAGCATGAAATAAATGATCTAGCAATTCAAATGGAAAGAGAAAAGAAGGAGATCTGGTCACAAACAGCTGACCTGCACAGTTATGTTTCCTGATGTTCTCAGAAAACACTACAGTTAAAAAAACAACAAAGAAAAAAAGTAGTTGCTCTATATGGCTGGGGGGTTGAAACTAGATGATCTTTAACCCAAATCATTCTATGATTCTATGATTCTATATGCTTCTTTTAGAGAGCTAAATGTTGTATTCCCCATTTAATACATCGTTAGCTTTAACACTTACTTTTTTTTAAATCCAGCCTTCTTTACACTTAGTTTAAATCTATTTTGTCCTGCTCTTTAAAACATGTCTTTGACTTTATACACTTTCCTATATCTGGTTCTTTTATTTAAAATAAGATGTCTGATAGGACAAGTCCAAATTATCTACATATTAGACTGACAAATGGACACTGGCATCAGATGTAAAATTTCAATGTGTGCAGGAGCTCTCTAAAGGAAGTGGGTCTGTTAAGAAATGCATTAGGGAGTTGGGTCAATACTATGAAGGTCAAAGTTAGAAGGCTAGTACAGACTGGGACAGAGAGAAATTTGCTTAATAAAGTAGTAGGAGAGACAAAGGAGTTACTGGTAAAATTCACTTGGTTGTTCTACTGAAAAGTGGGTCTAAAGAGCATGCAAAGAAATCACTGACCAAGGGAAATGTTTCCATGAGAGATATGAGTGTGATTACTGGACAACGTTTGCAAAGATGGCTTTCACAAAAGTAACCAAAATTAAAATCAAAACTAAATAATTTATAGAAACTTAAATTTTGAACTCTGATTATGTGGTAAAATGCCTTGCTGGACTTCATTTTGCTTTCTTCAACTGAAGAAAGTATTGCTTGATGAGGAACCCTTCAGTGCTGTCTTTTTCTCAGTCTAAGGTGCTCATTTTAGATTCTCATGCACTGTGCTCTATATGCTAATTCTGATCAGCTAATACTCCATCCTGTAGTCAGGTGATTTACACCTAAACATATCTTTCGAAAGCTTTACAATCCTCGGAGTGTTGCATAAAGGATTATGAATGATAGTTAGTAAAAAAGTAAATTCAGGATTTGAAAATTTTCCTTTAAAGCTGGTTTGAATGCATGTCCAGAAGCATGCTGAATTTAGTGAAGTTTAAACAGTTTAAGGAAATTGCTTTGAAAGTCAAGATATTTCATTTTTTTGGTCTAAAACATCTGATTGTCCTGGTTTCAGATGGGATAGTATTCATTTTCTTCATAATAGCTGCCACCGTGCTATGTTTTGGATTGAGTATGAGAATAATGTTGATAACACATTGATGTTCTATTTGTCACAAAATAGTGCTTACCCTAAGTCAAGGACTTTTCAGCGTCTCATGATCTGCCAGTGAGGAGATGCACAAAAGGCTGTGAGGGGGCGCAGCCATTACAGCTGATCCAAACTACTCAATTCCAATTCTCCTCCCCGAGGATGAAAATTTCATGCTTTGTGCAGAGCTTAAATTCATGATCTTGCATCTTGTGGGCCATTTTTGTATAGCAGACTTGGAAAACCTTGTGACTTGATCATAATCGTATCTAGAAAAAAAGAAAATATTTCAGCATAGGATCATATTTGGCCTAGCACACTATTGTTTTCTAAGAAAAATGTTTTGAATTTGCTTATAGAGGACTACAAAATGGAAAGTGATTTTTAAAGTGAAATAAATTAAAAGGGAGACATGCTTTCTTTCTTATATTCTTGCTCTCCCCAAAAGACAAAAATGTGAGGACAGACACCTAAATATGGTTTCTGTTGTTATTTCTCCCTAGGAAAGTCCAAGGCTGCTTCACATTTAAATTTTTATATTTGATCACAAGACAGCATAATAACAATATGCTAAGATCAGAAAGTCATCTATTTATTGTTTTCTTCTGAATGAGAATATATAAAAACTTGCTGTTAGTGGCCTGCAGCAGGAAGGAAAATGCTGAAATACTGCTAAGTGACATTAAAAAAGACTGTATTAAAATCTTTCTCATTTTCTCAGCACAGACATAAATAATATATAAATGCTACAATAGAAAAAGGGGGTGCATGGTTTGTGCACGTTCATCCTTGAGTTCAGTGCAATTTTGCTCTGCAATGACATATCACATCTTTCTTCAATAATCTCTTTCTTCATAAAGAACTGGATATTGAATGAGCAAAGCCAAAGAAAACTAGCTTCCTCCGTTTGTACTGTGAAAATACCCACATTTCTGGGAAGCACTGAAAGAAAGCCTGAAAAGACTCAGAAATACTCAGTCTCACTGACATGCTTTTTCTTCCCTGTGGTGTTAGTAGAAGTTTGAATTTGGGTTGTGGGAATTGCTTTCAAGTTCTCTGTTATTTATTGTTCCGTGCCAGGGTTCACAAGGACAGTAAAACTGGACAGGCAAAACATAAAGCCCTAAATCACCTCGATCAAGTTAATCAAATGACAAAATCTTGAATAATGGGCTGTAGGTTGAACAAAGACAGGCCAAATTTGAGCAACACTCTTCCCTATTTAAGTGAAATTCATGTGCTACTAAGAAAGGAAAGCAATTGTTATAAAGACAACAATTTCCTAAATGGATGCCAAGGATCTGATTGGATCTTATGATTCCTATCTGACTTGAAAAATAGATCCTGAATTGTATATGGTCTGGGGGTAAAAATAGGGCAAAAAATGTAAGCAGAAAGAGTAACCTTTATTAAAATTAAGTGAGATATGTTACTTTTACCCATAAACTTTTCCTGTTAATTCCACGGATAGTGCGTTCATTCTCTGGAATTTGGATAGCTTCTTCCTGCTGAAACTTTAGTTCATGCTGTTGATAAAGACTGTAAATGGTCAGATTCTTGAACTGCAGAATTATGCAAACGTCAATGGATGCTTAACAGAGTCTACATCAAGTTCAAGAAGTATGATGCCCAGGGGACTGAACAGCTTAGGGCAAGCAGAAAGGCTGTGTTCTGTTGTGAGTCTGTCTTATCTTCTGTGACCTGTAGCAAACTCAGGGTAAGAAAGTGGCATCATACTGAAGCAATTATGCCTAATCCATGTTGATAGCTGCTGTTGCAGGCCAGGGAGAACACTTGCACAGGTATGGCAGATAGGAGGCAGAAAGTTAGAAGGCAGGAGTTAGAAGGTGCCTGAAGGAAAGGGGAGAGTTAAAAATGCCTCAGAGAGCCAAAAATGTCTCCCTGCCATTCTAGCAACATTATCTAACATATGACAAATACCCATATGTACAAGTCGTCTTTTGTATCATTCAGTTACCACAGGATGCTCATCAAAGTCCTACTGTAAACCTTGCTTTCACATTTCCTCACCTTTTGTCCCTATTTGCTTTGCATCCTTGCCATTGCATTAATGTAGATGTGGGTTGGACTGGGAATTCAGCTGCATACAGAAGGGAAGTCCTTTAAAAGGTTTTAAACTGTCACAAAAACAGTGCTGAAGTGATCTGTCAATCCTCCTTTTCTTGGCTGAATAAATATTTTGAAGCTGATTTGTAAGGAGATTGAGTTCACATTAGGGAGAAGATCTTTGCTTACAGAATCTTTACTAAATCCTTTTTTCTGCATGTCATTCAACACCAGAACCCCTCATTTCTTTGTGTCTATTACCTATGGCCTGTCCTTGTGACAACTAGGTGTATGCTATTAAATGAAATTAGAAAAATGTAATAGATGGTAATAGCTTTGAAATTTAATAATAAACTTTGAAATTTAGCATTTCCTGAAAATACTAATTTATCTAGATTCCTTTTCAAAAAGCATACATGAGATGGATAAGAAACAACATGCTATAGGAGGTTAACTAAAACTCCACAGGAAAAATCTATATATCTGGCCTCTATGCTAATCTTCTCAGGATTGCAATGATTTTTGAAAATTTAGCAAGTAAGCAGTGATTGCATCTTCCCTGAACTGATGGATAGGTATCAGAGAACTAAAGCAAGATATTGAGACCTTTTATTTACTCTCCTCGAGGCCTTGTTCTGATCCTATGTTCTGGTTGTTAATGCATAGCTGTCAAATCTACAGTGACAAAGATCATGCACAAGAAAAAGAAACTACAAAATTTTTTTCCTTAACTTTATTATTCCTGAGTTAAATGATAAATATTGAGTCTGTTTAATTTCTTTCTGACCTTTGATATTTTTCCTATGTCTTTCTTCAGAGTATCTTGCAAGGAGATTTCTACTTTAAGCCTTTTATTACTTACAAAACCAAGTAATGAGGAAAAAAGTACAGCATGAGCAATACATTATAATATTTTAGTAAAAGAAATCTATGCTAAAAGTAGAATTCTGAAAACAATGGGTCTTCAAATTAATACTCATTCTCATGTTCAAGACACCAGGCTTCCAACTGTCTCATTGCAAAGCAAGCAGTGTATGATTTGTTCTGGAAAGATGTGTTTGTTATGTTTATAAATGGAACCCTATAATGCAGTAAGTGATAAGTCATTTACATTGATTGTCCAGGGAATCCTTCCAGTTCTGAGAGAAGAAAGTCTGCTGTTTCAGTATGATGATAAAATACATGATTGCAATAGAATTTAATATGACAGTTTGCTACCATTTCAAATGCAGTAATACTGAAAAAAAATATTGTAAAAATGGAATATACCACTAAAGAAAAACATTACAAATCCAAATTTCTTTAAGACATCTTATGCAAACCTTTCCTTTGGTATACTTTCATATTTTAAAAAAAATAATGATTTTTTGCAGAATTTTAATTTAAGCCAACATAGAAATAAATATCAAAGTCCATATTTACTAACATTTGAAAACCCCAATATACTACCAGAGCTAAACGTGTGCTTTGTTTTTTCTGTAATGGTTTATAGAGCCATACTTCTATTTTTAAGGAAATAATTTAAGACAAGGATTTGGCTAGGAAATTAATTCACTTAAGTCATAAGTTTTTGCTGTAGGTAAACAAAATGATCTAACAGAAGACCTACTAAACAACTCAGTCAAGTTATCACTGAGAAATATTAACATGCTTGAGATAAATTTATTAGAAGTGAAGGATCAGAAACTATTGATATCCAGAGCCAAAGGAGTGGTAACAGGTGAGTCCAGATGGCTGGGATCTTAAACAACAGAAGAAAGATGATTAGAGAAAGACAAGCTTTCAATAAATGTTATCACTAAAATGTAAGGATTCTTTTTCTTAACTTCAGCAGAACAAATTGCATCAGTAAGCTAAGCATGATTCACTACAATTGGAAATGGGTATATAATTAGTCCTTTACAGGACTGAAAAAATTATGGTATTTCTAATTCCTTTTTCTTTCCTTGGTTTTAATAAAAATTTTTATTTCATATACACAGACATTTGCATATAAATTTGATAGATGCAATTTGTAATTTAGAAACATTGAACTGTTGGAGCAAGTCCAGAGGAGGGTCACGAAGTTGATAAGATGACTGAAACAACTCCTCTATGAAGGCTGAGAAAGTTGGGGCTGTTCAGCCCGGAGAAGGGAACATTGTGTGGAGACCTTATAGCAACATTGCAGTATCTGATGGGAGCATGCAGGGAAGCCTGAGGCTTCCTAAATATCTATTTAGACTAGATATCAGGAAGAAATTTTTTACTGTGAGGGTGGTCAGACACTGAAACAGGTTGCCCAGGGAGTTTGTGGGTGTCCCAGCCCTGGCAGTGTTCAAAGCCAGGCTGGATAAGGCCTTGAGCAACCTGTTCCAGTGGGAGGTGTCCCTGCACATGGCAGGGGTTATTGGGACTAGATGATCTTCAAGGTCCATTCCAACCCTTGACATTCTATGTACAGATGCTCGTAGTCAAAAAGGAACAAAAGTTAGAGAGTCTGTGAAAATTTATGAAGTTTTATTATGCAGGGAAATTGGTATAGGTTAGTCCCTTCTAAACACGCAGAGATTAAAGAGAGGAAGAAAGGAAGAGAGGAAAGAAGAAAGGAAGAAAGGAAGAAAGAAAGATCATTAGTCCTGCCACCACCTGGGCTTTGTGGATGTACCTTTTTACAAATAAGTTTTCCCCGCCCTGGGGCTAAGTTTCTCACTTTCTATGCTAATTAATTGTCATGTGTAGTTTGTTTTTCTAGACCTTTCTGGAAATCAGTGGAAGGGCTTCGGGGCTCTTTGGTGGTCTTGACCCCTCCCTACTGGACCAACCTTTCGTCATCAGTCCATGCTTGCTTCTTTACCTCATTCCTGCAACTGTACTGCACCATGTTGTGCTTATATCCAAGAGTCCAAATTGTTTGCCCAGAAAAGTGCTGCCCTACTTTCATACGTCCCCCTTCTCTGGTCATATTCTTGCTTGTTTGCAGCATGTACTTACCAAGACCTCAGTTGGTGCCATGGCTATCTGCCTATCGGTATTTGAGACATACACATTAGCCCCTTATCTTTTGGGCTTCTACAATAGTTACTTGTTTAAATAGACCCTTCTAGTTGTGTGAAACTATTTCAGCTAATTGAAGATACCAAAGGCTTGGCAAATTGTGAAGAAAATCTGATGCACTATAACTTTGTCAGGATTTATGTTTTTGTTTGTTTAAGATGTGATGATGAGTTTGGACAGAACCATAAGTTCCATCTTAAACTTGCTCAGCTTAATAGTAGAGCTCCTAGACCTTGCCAACTTGCTTCTATTATATTAAAACTAAATAAAGGCAGAAGCTCTTAGACCTTTTAATTCTGATGTGAAATTAGAATTTAATTATAACGTGAAATTAGAATTCTTATATAGCAAAAGAAAAATAAAATACCTTTGGGTCTTCACAGTCCTCCATGGAGGCTTTAGCTGCTGCTAGGTGCTCTCATGCTTCAGTGGGTAGTGGGCATATGTTTCCTACAGGCTTTTTTTGAAAACTCAAGCTACTGCAACTCTTAACCCATATGACAACCTGAGGTTTTGGAAGAGAAAAAAATGGTGGTTACAATCGGGTTGTCTAATTCTGATATTCTTTCCCATATAAAATTAAATGCAACAAGTCACAATGTTTTGTTGGGATTTTTAATCACAGTGCAAAAAGAGCTGGCTACATCACACTTAGATTTCCACAGTAACATTAGATACTTTTAACTGTTTCATAAACTTTGCCTAATACAGAGGCCTGCGTGCATCCTCCAAGATGTCACCATAGCCAACTTACATTACCCGAAGTTTACAAAGCAAAAAAAGACCAAGGCACGAGTACTGACATTGCAATAATTAAATATAGAAACAACAAAAAAGCTTCTGCTTTTTTTTAGAAACACTAACATCCCCTTAAATCCATACCATCACACCAAAGCCGCAATCACTGTGGTCTGTGTCTCTAGTGGCATCTATTTGAATATGTTCAGAATCAGTGAAAAATGAACGGCAGTGGACAAGAGGAGTCAAAGAAAAAGTTGTAGGATACAGCAAAAGTTGAAAAGAGCAGTTGCCTTCTGTTCTCTCTGATTCCTTTTGTAAAAAGATCCCCCTCTCTTTTGTCTTGACAGAGAAATAAGATCTGAAATGTTCAGGCTCTAGTTAAACTCATCTTAATCTTATTAGAATCTCTTGAGCAACAGAAAGGAAATTGAATTTGTGCAGAAGTAGAAAACATCCTTATGAAAACCTCTAGGCACCCTGTAAATTGCTTAAACAAATTATGTAATTAAATGTGCAAAATACATTTTCAATCTCAGTTTGCTATATTAGGTTTAAAAACTCAACTCTGAAAAATAGCCACACAATTTTTATATTGTCTCATTAAGCTGTATTACTACTTTAATTATCAATAAAATTTTACAATGCAGCATGCCCTAGATGTTTATACGGCATCAGCCCCTTCATTTCTTCTTACCTGGCAGCCTCCCAGCACAGAGTAGCCAGGATGTCGCAGTGAGAAGTGCCCTTCTTGTGTAACTTGACATTCAGTACCAGGTTAATCATGGAATTATACTAGCAAACAAAGAATGCCATAGGTTGTGGCAAACGTGGAGAGATGCGTCTGCATGTTTTGATTATAAATATCCTTGTTTGGTTTTTTTCTACAAACTTCATAAAATTAGGAAGCAATGCATCACAAACCTATATCAGAGACTGAGCAACTCTGCTTGTGTCAGCAACCAAAGCCTTTGAAGCCACAAAGCCACTGAAGCAGTTGAAGTCATGGTGATGAGACAATTAGGTAATGTTTCAACACACAGTGAACACAGGAGGTTGTCACAGGATGCTACTAAAGCTTCCTTTCCAATAACTGGTCCAGAAAGACTTGGAAAAGAAAATAAAAACAAATAAAACAACCGGAAAAGAACATATTGCTCTGAATATTCCCACAAGATTTAACTGAAGAGCTTCCAAAGTGAAAGTTTTTCCTCTGTTGTTTTTAATAATTCTTGTTAGGGTTGTTTTGTTTTGATTTTAACCAACAGATGTAGGATCAGAAATGTGTGTACATCTGCAGATGCCAATTTTGTGCCTCATGCATATTTCATAAAAAACTAGCATTGAAATGAAGAAAAATTGCTTTTTTGGAGTCGCTGTAAGGCCATATATTTGTTTAATTTTAGTATATTTCTCCCACGCAAGAAAAGACTCTTGAGGAAAGCAAACAAGGATTTCAGAACATAAGTGATGTGTTTAGATACTTAAAAGTATTCTAAACAGATAACAAACTAACTGGCTCGTTCCTAACAAATTGAACAGACAGTAGTGATTTGAACGAACAAAATTGTTGTGCCACCTTATATTGGCTCCCATTTTAAATATAGCATTTTGTCATAGATCTAGATTCCTGTACTCTCATTCTCATGGTCTCAATTCAACAAATCCTGAAATACATAGGTAACGTATATTGTCATCTGGAGGTTAATAAAATAATGAAGCAATCTGTGGATATCAGTCAAGATATTTCTAAATATCAGTCACCATCCCTGGAAATATTTTAAAGACATGTTGATGTGATGATTAGGTTTAGTGGTGGACTTGGCAGTGCTGGGTTACTGCTTGGACTTGATGGTGTTAGAGGTCTTTTCTGACCTAAATGATTCTGTAATTCTATGATAAAAATGTTCCTGAGAAAAAGTGCCACTGCTATGAGGATATTGAAATGGTCACATTATCACACACTGGCAGCCCCTATATTTCTTTCTTATGAGTCTTCAAAGCAAATATTTATGTAAATACCCCATGGTTTAACAAAGAATGTTCACAGATAATTCAATTACTATATAAAATCTATGGAAAAATATAAGAAATATATTTTCTTATATAAATATAGAAACTATATTTAGAGTTGTTCAAAAGCTGAAATCCTAACTTGATTCTTTCACTTTTCTATCATACAGCACTTGCTATATTACATTAGGTAAATACGTTGATGGATAGATGTGCTATGGGAATTTTAAAAAATGAATTATTGGAGAAAAAGTATCCCACTTGAAATCACAAAAGTAAAAGCAGGAGAACTAAATTGTTTTTAATTACGGATGGTTCAGTGTAGTTCAGTATGGTTTCCATGTCTGAGAACTTTTCTCTGACAGACAACTAAAAAGTCTCCTATCTGGATTCTCCTCTTTACATAAAAATTGTTTTACTGTACTTTAAAAGGTAAACAATATATCTGATGTGAATTTACTGTCCTGGTTCTAACTGAGGAACAATGTGAGGAGACAAGATGTACAAATTCTGGAAAAAGACATTGTTGCTAATTAGTCAAAACTGTTTTCAAAATCTTTCTCTTTGGGATATATAGGATCCCTTGCTCTTCCACAGCTATGGAAGAGAAGCACCTCTTGCCATTTTTGTATGTGATTCCCACTCCAAGCCCAGTCCCAATGTCACACCTGTCTCCACTGTGTTCTGCTGCTCCATCTGTTCCAGAGAGACTCCCGTAGCCTCTGCTGGCCTTGTCCATACTCTGTCTGCCTACTGTGAAGTCTCAGGCATTGACCCAGATCAGTGAACCCCAGATCGCCCCATGCCAGAGACAGAGCCTGAGCTACCCAGTAGGTAATGTGGAAAGTCAGGAAGTTTGAGCTTAAATGCTGAATATGAGCTCCAAGATGACTTGACAGTGCAGATAATATTATAATTTCTATGCACACTAAACTACCCAAGACAGTAAATAAAGATAAGGCATGCTAATATGAGCAGGAAAAAAATTATTTCACTCTCCCCTTGTGGAATCAAGTCCAGATAGAACAGGACAGTTGCTACATCTCCAGATATTCTAAAGACCATACAGGACAAACACAAGAAATAGTTTTATCAGGAATGAGTTTTACAGTATTTGATTTTTCTGCTTCAGTTCTCAGCCCAGGAAATGTAAGGCTAGACAAAACTAGGAACAATATATTTTCATCAACTTGATGTTTATCTGCACAAAATCTTGTATGCTATCTTAAACAATACAGAACACTTGGACAGATACAAAACTAAACCAAGAGTAAGCTTTAGAGATGTATGAAATTTTTTCATTATATACATCTGAAAGGTTCTGATATGTTTAGGAATCATGTTTCCTTTTTCATTGGTTAACACTACATTGATGTCATATTATAAACAGGCCACATTAGTTTTTTAATTCCAGCTCAGCAATCAAGGTTTCTAGTAACTTATCTTTTTTCTTGCTCCATATGGCAATATTTTTATTTGTATTTTTTTGTTTTGTTTTCTCTAAAAAAAGTTCCATTGAAATGAAAAAAAATCAAGAAAAATTCACTGTCTGGAATTATGTTTAGAGTAATCGTATTGAAATACAAACTGAACAGAAGAGATTAATACCTATGTTGTGCAAACAAGACCTGAAAATTCTCATGATGTACTTAAGGAACTTCAAGAATATATAGAATAAGATTTAAAGGGAAAAAAATGAAAATTCAATATTTCAATATTTTATTTTTTAGTGTTTCCTTGCAAGTTTTGGTTAAAAAGTAAAGGATTGGTGAAATAGAATATCAGTAGCTTGTGTATTGGGCAGGATAACTGAAACTAATTACGGATCTACTTGGTATAATACCACATGCGCTTTTCTAATCCCCAGGATTGCTAATTGATTTAGAAAATTATGAGATTCCAAGAAAGCTAACCAATTTGTTTATATTTGCTTAATTGATAAATAATATGAGTTTAAGGTTGAAATTGTCATTTTACTCACTGTTTCTCCATTTGGGATGAAGAAACTAACCTATAAAACAGGAAAAAAGTGAACCTTATGATAGTTACCCTGGTATGGAGAGTATGTCCACTTTAAACTGACTCTTGACTTTAGGAGTCCTTAATCATTGCTGTCTCACATTAACACAGTCCCTTCATTTGACTTTATGCCCTAGCCCCAGACATAAGGGTATGTAGTGATAGGACAAGGGTTAATGGATTTAAATTGAAACAAAATACGTTTAGGTTAGTTATTAGAAAGAAATTCTTTTCTGTGACGGTGTTGAGACACTGGCACAGGATACCCAAAGAAGTTGTGGAATACACCCTATTCCTGAAAGTGTTCAAGGCCAGTTTGGATGGAACTTTGAGCAACCTGGTCTAGTGGAAGTTGTCTGTGCCCATGATAGCGGGTTTGAAACTAGATGATCTTTAACGTCCTATCCACACCCAGACCATTCTATGGTTCTATGATGTGGCATAGATATGGCATATTCTCTCTTTACTGGAGGAAACTATACAGTTGCTTGGCAGACTCAGTGTAACAGTTGCAAAATAAATAGATCAGTCACCAAAGTCAGATTCTTTGTGGAAACTGGCCATCAACAGCATCATCAGAAATTGCTGAATTTCAGATAAATTCTGAAAGGTCTCTCAAAGGACACACTAAAATGCAGAGGAACTCATCAGAATTTCCTTCAGAAAAGTGAGATCTTCAAACAGTTGAAAACACTGAAGTAAAAGTTCTGACAAATAGCTCTTTTTAATAA